AATTGCCAAGGGTTGTGCACCCTGCATTCTACACCTGTCCGTCCGTTTACTTGGTCCTACATTTTAACAAGCACACCTGTAGTGTTTTGGTACAAGTTCGATTAGTCTAAAGCAACTCCTCAAGTAAGGTTGCCTCAAACACCGTATAACTACATTGATATACATACATCCTACAATGTAGTGTAGTTAATAGTGCCGTTGATGGTACATCGGAGAGACGAATTCAAAGAGATTCCACTCACCTGACCCACACGAAAATATACTCTAATTACTAACTATTGTGAATGATATGAACGTCTCGAGCGTTCATTCCGCCAGCCCACCCTATCGATGTATGCATCCGGTCATCAGATTCACAGAAATGCACGTTTTTGGAGGACGGCATTACTTAAGATTTCAAACTGATGGCTTGTTGCCGGATTTTTAGTGTCAACGAACATCCCTGTTAGCAATGTTGTGGAATGTAGGTAGCTCGGGAGCGCTGCTTGGTTGTTGGTCTGTTCGCCGAGCTTGGCAGCTGGATTGCTAATATCTTCGGGTGTCCTACGCTCAAAACAGCTCTTCGATGGGAGACTTTTGCATGTGGACTAGCTTCCACTCGACAGCAACTTCGCTTCCTCCACGAATGCCTGCGACAAAACGCATTACTAATGCAACCCAACTGCCAAGCTCGGCGAACAGACCAACAACCGAACATCACTGTACCTCCGTTTACCAGATAATCTACTCACCATCAGTTGCATCCCACTCCTGGATGTACGTAACCCAGACCGTCGTCGCTTAGTGCGTGCACTGCGAAATCCGAACGTTTCACTCACCTACCAATAGTATAGTATAGTATAGTATAGTATAGTATAGTATAGTATAGTATAGTATAGTATAGTATAGTATAGTATAGTATAGTATAGTATAGTATAGTATAGTATAGTATAGTATAGTATAGTATAGTATAGTATAGTATAGTATAGTATAGTATAGTATAGTATAGTATAGTATAGTATAGTATAGTATAGTATAGTATAGTATAGTATAGTATAGTATAGTATAGTATAGTATAGTATAGTATAGTATAGTATAGTATAGTATAGTATAGTATAGTATAGTATAGTATAGTATAGTATAGTATAGTATAGTATAGTATAGTATAGTATAGTATAGTATAGTATAGTATAGTATAGTATAGTATAGTATAGTATAGTGTAGTATAGTGTATTGCCATCCCTTGGTTGCGTTGTTGTTCGGATCACAATTCATACAAAGTGTACGGTATATAACGCAAGCATTGTATCGCAGTCATGTTGTTATCGCTAGGAAGTTGGGTGAGATGCTGGTTTGAGCCGACTACTCTAAAAAAAGAATTCGACTGCTAGCGCTCAGTCTTTCGAAGCCTGGGATCGTTCATCTAGCGTACTGTCTTCGGTATCCTTGACCAAAGCTACTGCCTTTACATAGGGGTGGTTACCGTACCTTAAAAAAAGTCTGCCATGAAAAGGAGATTGTCATTGGAGTATACATGGTATAAACGAATAAACATGTAAGCCTATTTTAAACTTTTTTCGGCTCGGCAGGACTCGGAAAAGGCAAAACACGATTATCGTCCTTAAGACGAAGAGTGCGGTACGTTTGCACGTCTTCAACTTGGGCAATCAACACAGCCTCATAGAGTAGTTCGGATTCGATGGAATTCCCTACTTATCGATTAGGTGTTTCTTCCTCTATCACTGTTCTGATTTTGCGCACGAAAGTTACGGTCCTATTCCTGCTTCCCATTCGGTGTCAGTCTGACTCAGTTAGTCACATTTCCCCCAATTTCCGCATTTACTTGGTGCTGTCACGTGACAAATGTTAGGATGACTCACCATCGATCACGTCGCATTCGGCAGCTCGCAGATCGATTGATCCACCGCTGTCCAGAATGCATTGAATTGCCCACATTTTCGAATTTTTCAGTGCGGTAGAAATATGGAGTTAGTGTAGTCCAGAGAACAGAGAAACGGTAATTTTTCCACACCGATTTGTACGTGGGTTCATGTGATGAGGTTTCGTAGATGTGCGTACGACGCACCGGCTGCGCCCACCCATCATGTTATGATGAAAGTCGGTAACATTCCAGACCAGCCACGCATCACTTGTGGTGCTCAGGCTGCTTTCGTATTCCTCGCATGTATAATGTCGGCTTGTAGCGGTATGAAAAAAAACCTCGTAGTCAAAGAAGCTCCTAATGCTTGAGTGGATTTTCTGCAGTCTGCAACCGATCGCATTTGTTGAGGAAACATTCTTTTTGGTTAGTAGACCGACGTCTGAAATAGCTCAAGCTGAAACCTTGGTTCGTTTTTTTTCTGAAAAGAATAAGAAACTATCGGAACAAATTTAATTCAATTTTTCACCAGAACAGTGGATTTTTGTAAAAAAAAATTCGCGCAGAATCATTGTCAGCCATACATGTTTACCAATTTAAATTCAAATACGTAAACTAGTAATGTTATTTTATCCGATTGGTTGTTTCCCGGTTATGTCCTTCAAGCCTACAGTGACCTTGAATTCCAAGATCATATCGACAAAAACACTTGGAAATACAAAGATCAAGTACTCATCTTCAGGGATCCGGAAGCTAGATTGATTGAAGTGGGACTTGGGCGAACGTTTACATGACTTTATTCCCCTGATAATAGTACGGACTGAATGCATTACATGGAGTGAAATGGTAAACGCCTAAACGTTCAAACTGTAGAGCAGTGTGTTATGTCTACTGGTGATGCACTACTCATAAGGTTGCTGAAAATTCATCGACATGTATCGCGAGGTTTCGAATATCGTAGCGACTGAAACATGAAGCGGCCTGGTGCAGAACATTCAGTTGCCTGGAAACATCACAAACAAGAGATTCAGCTGGGTTCCAGGCGAGTCTCTCGCAAAACCAAATTAGTTTGCAAATGAGTGTATTTCGCTTAGTCTGTTATGTCATTCCGGTTGATGGTTCTTCATGGCGAATAAAGTTCTAGGATTCGACAGACTGGAAGGTCTTGAATATGATCCCGGTCAGCTTAGGTAGACGAAAAGATACAGTGCTTGGGAAGGACTCCAACTCACTACCTCGCATCCTACAAAACAACCTCTCCATCAACTGAGTCAACACAGGTGCCGTCCCACCAGAAGCCACGCAACACTGCAATGCGTCAGTGTCATCACTGAACCCCTAGTGTGATGCACTGTTCTTGAAAAATCAGACTGAAGAGTAAATTTGAAAACGTTCAGCGGGACCAGACAAAAACGAGCCTTTCTAGATTTTGAAAGATTTGTGTGCAACAGATGAACTCACTTTTGTGTTGTCATTATACTGTCAAATACTATATACTAAAAGCCTTTCTGTCACTCCAAAAGGAAAAAAATTAGGCCTGTCAAGGTCCCTTAGGTTTTTATAAAAATTCACACTATTACTCAAGCTGGTAAGGCTATTGAATCATTCGTTGGTTAAAACCCATACTTCGTTGAATCGTTTATTGAATCGTTTCATGAGTTCTTTCATAATTTATCACACTTGACGAAATTTATCGAACTGAGACCATGAAATCTCCCGATCGCCTTACCTGCATGGTTTTTGGGCCAGAAAAGAGCAATTCACCATGAATATTCTACTGCAATAGCACAAAGTATGTGTGATACATTCGTAATGCTGAAAATTTGTCTACAGCCCACGACCGGTTTCGCTCTTCCAGTTCGGGCTCATCAGGTAGGCGCAGTCCCCGAGTTCCGTCAACCTTATGTTCTACTTGAAACAAAATTGGACTGTTTTCGAGAAATACACTCATTTGCAAATCAAGTTGGTTTTCACGAGAGACTCACCTGGAACCCAGCTGATTCTCTCGTTTGTGGTGTTTCCAGGCAACTGAACCAAATTAGTTTGTAAATAAGTGTATATTCGCTAATTTCGTACAACTTGGTTTCAAGTAGAGCAGAAGGTTGACGGAAACTCGGGGACTGCGCCTACCCGATGAGCCCCAAGAAGGGCGAAACCGGTCGTGGGCTGTTGACGAATTTTCAGCAACCTTATGAGTAGTGCACTACAAACATATACATGTATCGCGATATCTCGAATATAGTAGCAACTGAAACATGAGGCGGCCTGGTGCAGCACATTCAGTTGCCTGGAGATATCACAAATGAGAGATCCAGCTCGGTTCCAGGTGAGTCTCTCGAAGAAACAAATTAGTTTGCAAATGGACTTGTGGTTCTTTCGCGAACAACCTCACAGTCATTGCGAATTACCAGGGTTAACCTAATCGCTCTTCTGTGATACTTTATTCAAAGAGGTTTCAGTGACCTTGTGTTTCAAGAAGGCCCGACGGCGCATTTTGGGTGGGTCTGGTCTGCACAGGCTGTCACGTCCTCATGTGCACCTCGGTAAACCGCACAGCCTGTGTAGTGTTTACTGGATCGTATAAACGTGAGCCAACCAAAAATAACATTGGGTTGCGCACGTTTCGGTTATAAATAGTTCACGGTGTTTTTACACTGTGTGTACTGCGTACCAAAGCCCACGACAATCGCTAGTACTGGCCAGGGTAGCTCACACGGGAAGTTTATGTACCGATACATATCAACCAAAAATCTTGAGCGGATCGCTTCAAAATCAGTGTGGAACGTGCGTGCTTGACAGAACAGACATAGTTGTAGGTTGTGGGTGACAAATGTGGCTAATACCTTGTCAGCGAGTGCACAAATATCACTCAAAATCAAGAATTCTACGTGCTGGTTACATGACCTACTCAAGGTGCTCTTAGGGGGTGTGGTCAGGCATCGTATGCCAAATAAGTATACATGTGTGTGCACTCGGGTGTGAATAATCATGATGGTGATTGGGGCGTACCTACCAGGATTACTGGAATTGCTCAGCTTTCGATTCCCCCGAACAACGTCAACCAGTTTACAGTTGATCCTTCAACAAATCTCACAGTCCTTCTCCAGGTGGATAAGGCCCAATTTTGACTTGGTCTGAAACCAAACAGTGCACTCTGCAAGTATTCGAGTAATTGGGAAATTCGTGGTGATGAGAAAACTTGGTGATGTTGAATAGAAGTTTCCCTCTATCAGTGAAGCCAGTCTATGATGAAAGGCCGAGAAGCATTGTACAACAGTCTGAAACCATCAACATACTCATCTCACTAAACTTAGAGTTTCGAGAGAAAGAGAAAGTGTGTGTGTGTGTTACCAAATCTCTTGTTGTTACCACGACTCATTAAGCAACCCAGAGGAAAGATACTTTAACCGAATTTGTGAAACTTCCTTTTGAAAAGTCGTCACTCGATGAGCCAGTCTGTCACGTGATGTGGCTTCCGTTATTGCAGGATGATTGGCTCTATGTTCTCTCTAAGTGAGAGGTAATCACACTGCTCATTGGTCCAACCACTGGTCGGAAGATCGCGGGTTCGAAACGGCCTGGGTTTGGTGCGATGCACACTACTGGTGATTCTCAACAGGATAAAAAAGCTGTACAATGCTTGTTGGCTTTTGTGGATAGATCGGCTTTATTCCAGAGTGGAATGTCTAATTTGGAAATTGTAGATTTGCAAAACGAACACTGGTACGGCAGCGCCTTGATCGAACTGTGCTTTATTCAACAACAAAAAAAATTACAAGCTACTGTCGGACATGTTTAACTCTTATCACATTAGATTAAGTCTTTCCATCCTTTCCTGAAATGGCACCATTTTTTAGGCCTGGATTTCCTGTCTCCCATGTTTTATATGCCCCATTCAGCCTTGAGACCCAGGACAATTAGCAGTAGAAAACCTCGGCATTTTCCCTACCTAACATACAAAATCGATCGAAGTGGAGTCGGCTTTATTCCAACTTAGAATCAATATTAGGGCACCCCAGATGTCGGCTAACCTTGAGAGCTCAAACTTTGGTTTTTGGTTTGCTTGGACCCAACTTCGGTGCGCTGAAACAGTGACTGAAGCATCGAAAAAACTATGTTCCTCATTTGTATTGTTCTAAATTTACAGCGAAAAAAAATTTTGTACAGGAAAAGTTTAAACATAATCATGTGGTGTGTTTTACAACAAGCTGCTGGAATATCAATACTAATAATCAATACTGGGGTTGAAAATACTACGGTAATCCGCCCTCACACGAGTCACAAGTAAAGACGCTCTCACGCTAACGAGCCACTCAACTAAACATCAGCGGAAAGAGGTACTTGGATATCCCTCAAGGGATTACGCTACACAAAGGCCGCATCATCTTTTACTTACTGGAGTATTCCTGTCAACACGACACTACTTTTCGACACACGGACAGCAGCTTCATCCTTCTACCAGGTGGACCTACTTTTCCGGTTGGCTTATTACCTAATCATAGGGTTGCTGAAGGTCTATCGGTTTCGCTTTTCCTGAAGCTCATCAGCTAGACTAAGCTGCAGAAACTTCGTCAACGATGCGAAAGTCACACCGGGCTGTACACATCTTTCATTCATTCGTACTATGAAACACGCTGCGGCATCTCCAACATCGTTCCATCTGAGATGACTCTCGTTTAGCATATTCTGTTGAAGAGCTTTAGGAACGATGGGTCTAGGCACAACTCAACTGAGTCTCTACCTTCAGCTGAATGTGTTGCTGAAACAGATATTGGGTTTGTCGGATAAGTAGCGTTATATCAAGCACAGTACTTGAAAGTCATGAGTATCTTTTTAATTGGACATGAGTCATCTGAGATTCATCTTAATTTGTGAATGAGCCTACAACTCCACTTGCGTTCTGTCTCGTAAGAAGGTCGTTAGTAGTAACATTTGTGGAGACTGGATAATTACGATTAGTTGGTGAACCCACAACTGATGTGTTGGTATATACTACTAATGGAACATGCAAATAGTATCTGTTTCTGTGTCTGATGGTAGGTTGCTATAGAAGTTAACGAACCGCTATGTAGTATTTGTTTGTTGTTGTTCATCACTTAAACAAAGTCCCAGGAGGCTCCCGCGGGACGCTTAAGGATGCCGACATTTTTGTTCAATCTCGTGTCTGATGGCTCATAATCGTTTGGTTCGTGTGAGCTCCGGTAGTGGGCATTTGAAGAGTATTCCTCCACCGTGTAAGTAGTATTAGGTTCAAGAAGCCTGAAGATCTGGGTTTCCAGAGAACTAGAAAGCGATTTCATATCCTGAATAATTTTTCTTCCGGTAGTTTAGTTTGTGATCTATTGATCCTGAGTGTCTTCTTTAGTTAAAGCTGGGGACTATGGCTGACAATGGCTTATACAGTGAGAGAGTGCGCCAATATTTCTCCACTATTTCCTGTCCTGTTCAGGTGTGTCACACCATGGGTTACTCGAATCATTCGAGTCACCGTCAGCCAAATGTTGTCTTCGTTTTTTTGAATGAGCACAACTCAATCCACTTGGCTTAAGTAACCCGGCAAGATGATGCCGAGTTTGCTTACCTCGTTTCCACCTGATTGCGGAGCTCGACTGATTTCTCGATTACCGGGGGGTTTTGCCGGTGGAAAGAATTCATTTTGGAGAGATACTGGCCGTTGAAAACCGTCAACTCCCATACATGATTTTGCCGGTAAAACAGAAGTGCTCTGATCACATCTCTAAAAAACTACCAGTCTCAAAAATCTTTCTAGTTGATGTTCTTTTTGCTTGGAAGGACCACGACACTAACACTGCCAGTCAACAGAGAGTAAGCTACAAGACATCCGTGCACAGCTGATAAATCGTTAGCAGTTTTGATGGAGTCGAATATACTTTTACGTTCAGGCTGCTGGTGTCGAAGAAAATCTGAGCGGAGAAACATGCAAGGACCTACATGTGATGGCAGTTAAGATCTCGTCCTGTACGTGAAGCCCATCTATGCAGAAGTACTTTGAAGCACCGTACTTGTGTAACGGTGATACTACTGATGGGGCGGCATGCGAGTAGTATGCTTTGTTCTTGTAAATTCGCTTTGACGTCTCTTGAAAAGGGATATCTTTTGCGGACTTTGTGAAGTCGCTTTGTAGCATTTGCTTGGATTTGAGCAATTAATGATGGGAGTCAATGAATATCCAGGAAAGTCCAAGAAGACGCGTTCAAGAGAAAATGGATGTCCAGTTTTTGTAAATAAAATGCAAATGAGGGTTCTGCTTCCTTGTTCAATAGTCTGTAACTGGTCAGTTGGGATTTTTTAATGAACAACTCCGCAGCGATGGCCTTTTTCCTTTCGTGGGCATATCATCCTTACCGGGAGTCGTAAGCAGTGAGTGTCTCACGAATCTCCTGGGGGTCTCGATTCCGCGACTTCCTGGCTATTGGTGAGACATGAATGGCAGCGCGCCATTCATCCATTCCTGGCCGAACGGTCAGGTGATTTAACTAATAACTGAGTGTCCGAGGGTTCAAAACACTTTCGAGTTTGGGATGGACACTACTGATGGTTCCTAATAGGGAGGAAAAGGCTCTACAGCGATTCTCAGCTTCGAACTCAGAGCGGCTTCATCTAAACAACGAAATCTTCATTAAAAAAAACACTTTCCTCATTGTACAGTGAACTGCACCAATTCTCCAGAAAACATACTGCTTTGTGGGTCAGAGACGAGACTTCTACATGCGGTAGGCATACGGAAGCTGACAGAGTTTGCCCACCTTCGTCGGGGCTCGAATAAGTGAACGGATCTTATCTGGCCACCTCATGGTCGTGAGTTGTCGAGGAGCTTTCAGCAACCTTATGAGTAGTAGATTACAAATACACACGATATCTCGAATATGGCAACAAGTGAAACATGAGGCGGCCTGGTGCAGCACATTGAGTTGCCTGAGAACATCATAAACGAGAGATTCAGCTGGGTTCCAGATAAGTCTCTCAAAAAAACAAATTAGTTTGCGAATGAGTGTATTTCACCGATTTCGTGCAATTTGTTTTCAAGTAGAACACGAGGTTGACGAGAACTTGGGGACTGCGTCTACTTGATGAGCCCGAACTGGAAGGGCGAAACCGGTCGTGGGCTGTCGATCAATTTTCAGCAACCTTGTGAGTAGTGCATTACGGAAACGATGGAAGCTTTGGCAGCGTGTGTTTTTTTATATGGAAAACTCACACGCAAGCTTCGGTGAGTTACCCAAGATAATCTGGCTCCAATCTCTCACTCAAATCAGCTGTTGTACTACGAGATGAAGGTATCTGTGATCATTCGGTTATCAGTTGATGATCCATCCAACCTCATCGACGCAGCAGAGAATATTCCTCAGTTAGGTAGATTTTAGCTAGCATTCGATCCGATCCGCAATGGTCGGATGCACACTGGATGCACGCCATGGTCGGCTTTAGTGTCGAGTGCAAGCCTCGAAGGAATACTAGCGATATCAATATAGTAGTATTATTACTAATAAGAATGGTCCCACAAATGTGTACCAGGTCTTCCTTGCGTTCGGATTCAAATGATCAATCCAGTTTCACGACAGCTGAGGTCACCTTTATCAGTCATCCCGGGGACGATCGTACCGTAGGCATCAACAGGCAGCAAGTAATGTCTCATGGACCTCCAGCCCCATCCCTTGCTGCCTGCAGGTTCGAAGACACACGATAAATTAGTCGTAATACAGTCTACTGTGGTCAGCTAGGACCACTTGAGTTGATTTGAAACTATCATGAAGAATTTATTGATTTTATGCATCTTTGGACAGAAGAATGGAAGTTCTCTAGAAGTAATATGATGATAATCGTCAAAATTTGAAGAAAGCTCACCAGTTGTCATCGAATTCCCTCGTGACTCGAATGGTGGACCAAAACTTGTTGAGTTATGACACTGTCTGTCCGAAAGATGACACCAAGTGGGGAGGTTCAGAAACTCCGTAATCGCTGAATTTCTGTCCCGGTTTCAGGCATAAAATCGCAGCACATGAAATTTAGATCAATCGGCTGCCGTCACTCGTGCTCAAGCTAGTGTCGAAAGTCTAAACCCAATTATTCAGACTCCTCGACGAAATTGTCGAAGTGTGTACGTAAAGACGGATGATGCCGGCCGCACATAGCCACTTGGACATCGCCATGGTCATCTTAGTCCATTATTGGAAGTCCAGTTGCGGCATGAACGTGCAAACTCATCGTACCACACTTCGAGTTCTACGCTTTCTCTCCCACTGTGTGTTCTGGATTGACCATTCCATGAAAATAGTAAAGTAAAGTAAAGTAATTGTGTCATCTTACAGTATGAGCAGTTGCTAGGCAAAGAATTCCCTAGATGCACTTTTGGAACAGCTTGAGGTTCTCCATCGAACACTGTCAGTGTATTGCTGAGATGCGCTGCGGTCCAAATGGCTCACATTGGTCCTGCAAGGATGGTATCCTCATGGTAAAGCTCTGCTTATGTAGAACCAAAGAGTAAGTAGTGGTGAGAGGAAGAGGGCCTTCGCTGCGGAGTTATTCATTAGAAAATGCCAACTGACCAGTTACAGACTATTGGTCAGGGAAGCGAGACTCTCATTTAGCATCTTATTTACAAAAACTGAACATCCCTCTTCTCTTGAACGCGTCTTCCTGAACTTTCCTGAATATTCACTGACTGTTGCTCAAATGCAACCAAATCCCACACAACGACTCCACATATTCCGCAATAGATCTCCCTTTTCAAGAGACGCAAAGTGAATTTACACGAAGAAAACATACTACTCGCATGCCTCCCCCATAAGTAGTATCACCGTTACAGTGATAGGGACAGTCTCCAACAGGGACATAACCATTCACGCGTTGTGCGTAACCTTCATGATTTTGCGCGAATTTACTAAGCTAAAGGTCGATGTTTCGAACCCAAACTATACATCTCGACTTCTGCTGTCTAGGCTTGAGCAACCTGAAGGCATCTCAGCCCTCGTGCTTCCCGCGGGTGGCATGATAGCTAGGCACCGACATATCGCTGCAAGTCATGGCACATAAGGTAAGTTACAAGATCACCAGTACACTCAGGAAAATTAACAACTATCTCATGTGACACCATACACTTCGACGGTCACTTTCCAAAACCTTCCGTTTTACACACCCAAGGCAAATGTTTGTCTTTAGCCCTGAGGGCAACAGACCGATTCATTTCGCCCTTGAAGGTAATCTCTGACAGCAGGACCTGTCCCAAATTCAGGACAAACCACATGTGCAGGCAACCAACCCACCTATCCACCTAATCAGCCCGCATATTGTATTGAGTGTTGAATGGAGGCATGTCAGAAAAGATTCACCTTTAAGATGAGTCATCCAGACAAGTCTAGGTGTTCCGGTGAGTCAGCAGATAATACGGGTTTCATTTTGAGAGAATAAACGGTCACAAGGATTTCTATCCAAGAATCTTTCATGCAAAGTTTCCTCATAACGACTGGAGCGGGATTCCGTCCCTGCGCTAGGACATCTCACGATTCAGATGAATGGTTACCTCAACTTTCAACTAAAGTTCATCATTAGAGTGAGCCTCGATCGTACACAGAAGTGTTTTCAGGAGCATTGCAAAAGAGGCAGTCGGAACTGGGGATTCATTTGACCATTGGTAAATGTGACAGGATTATAGAAAGTTGATAAACCAGATGACAAGATAAGTCATCCCAATGTTCTACTCTAGTCAGAGTTTGACAGTTTCGATCAACAGACCAAATAGCCACACCGCTTTTGGTTCGAGAATTTTTCATGGCATTCATCAAGTTTTAAGAAAGAAAAATTTGAGAAATACCCAACGGTGCTCACCTACTTGCGAAGGAGATTCTTGAGGCTCAGTTAAACTGCACTTGAAGCTTTCGTTTCTGATATTCTAAGCCTACCTGATTAGCCCACGGGAGTTCAAAGCCGCTGGTGAGCTTCCGGGATTTTCTTAAACCCAATGAGTAATATCGAACCATAATTTGATAAGTTGAACATCGATCCAAATGAAGTATGACGAATTTGACGAATGAAACGAGGCAGACTTCGGTGATTTTTGGCTGAGTCTACCGATTCAATTTGCAAACGATCATTTATCACAACACACATACAATTTGCTGTTCACGTAGGATAGAGATTCGGAGACTGCACCGACCTGATGTGCTCCAAGAAAGGTGAAACCGGTGATGGGCTGCCTAGCGATTTCATCGACTTTGTGAGTAGTATTGAATCTAATAGTGCAAATTTTGCAGCAAAAGTGGTCCAACGGTTCTTCAGGCCTTGTTTTTGTGTAAACTAGACGGTTGGGTGCATCTCCGTGTTTTCCGGAGTCAAAATAGTCCATGTTGTGCCACCCCTCGATCAGTGAGTCTCGGAATGCAATACAAACGTTGGACGAACAAAATGGATAAGTTTACCCCCTCTCTTTATTTCTCTGCCTGATTTGTTCTCAACAGTATAACATTTCATTTGGTTCCTACCTTATTCTTCATCAGTTGTCTTACTTGGATTGATCGACTAAGTTTACTCGTCTTCCAGTGTCGTAAGTCTCATAGTTTACCAGAAGGGTTTAGCAACCCTACGCTGAATTCCGATCGACATTCGGTTAGAGTCTCACTTGGTCAAAATGTATTTCCTGCCACAGATGACCGTATAAAGCTACGATTTTTAGACGATAGAGGAAATGCGAGGTCATGCGAGATAGTGCTCACAATCGGG